GACTATACCGGGAATCAAGCTGCTGGCGGGCCGCTTCCGGGGATCAGGTTCCACTGACTCTTAACGGTGAATAACTCAACCCGAGACCTGACTATGCGTCTATTCTCCAGAATGAGTGGTAGGGTTCCTTCGAGTCTGAATTTGGTCGAGCTCCCTGTTAGCAGCACAACAATTGTGTCTGGTCCGCACAGACGGTCTACTGGTACATGGTAGGGATTGAGGTCGACTTTTGGAAATCCATACGACGCCCATGTGGCGCATTCCTCACCTTCACAAATCTGACACACTTATGTCTACCACAGCACGATAGAAGTCGTGGCTTGGAAGGTTGCCAATTGACAGAATATCACAGTCTTCGTCGCGCGCCCGTGAGATTACTTATTCGAGGACGGATGTCGAGGCTCAGGGTCTCCTTCCCAATGTGGCCTCACATGTAACACCAGAAAAGCACGGTAAGGGAGCCGCGATCGACTTCTTTCTGTCTAAAAGGAGAAGTCACTCAACTACGGGCAGCAATTAATTCGCTACACAGGACAGTTTGCTGTGAGATGGCTGGTTACTTCTGTGGCTAACAAAAGTGTCCGTTCGATCGAGGCACAACAGGTAGTCCCAGTTGTGGACGCTGCCATGACTAAGCCAAGGTTAGGCCTGAGAGGCTGTCGCCTTTTGGCCGAGCACCGACCGGTTAGTAAGCTTTTTGGTGGCCCTCGGGACGCCGGAGAAAGGAGCAGCTGGTGTACCAGGTCATGTGTGATACACAAAGATGTGCTGTCCAGTTTCGTAGCCATTGTGCCCACGCCTGGTCATTTTTTTTTACGTTTTCATACTATCGGAATAATCTGCGTGAAGCAGGGAGTGAGGCAGACGATGCGCAAACCATCCACTATTTCACGTGCACGTCTCAGTTACTAAACTCACTCTTCGGAGTGTAGAGCTGAAGTCGTCATACCTGACCACCAAAATGCCGCCTCTTGCGACGGCTGTATTTGCACGGAGCAACGTAGGCTTACTTTTGATACTCTTACTGGGTGGAAGGGGGTGAAGAGGCCTG